TTTTTTTTTTTCAAGTCATTGTTAATCATTGATAAGTCCATTTCACTTTTAGCTTTTTAATTACTGACCTTTGTCTTATTATTGAATTCAGTTATTTTTTTTATACTAATATAATCGCCTGAGTCATTACCTCTTTCTCCAGGTTTAAAATTGAGTGTATTTTTCTGTAGGTTGCTGGCCTTAGGGGCAGACCCAAATTATGCGGACCCTGAGAAGCACAATGCGCCTTTACATATTGCTGCTAAAGAAGGCCAGGCGTTACAGGTACTTAACTGTATGAAGATTCCCTAAACGGTTTCTTTAAAGCATTATGCTAATAAATTTTCCATTTGTTACCTTTTTATCACGTTTCAGGTGGAGTTATTGTGGATTTATGGCGCTGATGCAGGTCAAGTAAATGCTAGTGATCTTACCCCCTCCCAGATCGCAAAACTAGAAAATCACGTTAGTTTGCTAAGTTAATTACACACTTACTTGCATAAAAGGATGGGGCTTTGAGGTTATGCAGTAATTTTAGCACGAATTGGCTCTTCGTTTGGAGGATTTGAGATTTGAAGTTACTGATCGATTTTCGATGTTTCTTTGCAACAGGAAGCCTGACCACTCTCGAAACCAGGATTTTTTGGTTCCTGAAATGATAAGTGAAGAGCTGTTTACTTCAGAAGTAACTGCTTTAAGACGTCGGCTCTCTGTTTTGCCACCACATTGTTTTGAACGAATAGTTCAAGATGTGTATGACGAGGTACTATTTTTCATTGCGATTCAAATAATTTTTGGTCAGGAACGTTTATTGGATTACTCTAATGCTACACTTTTTAATTTTAGGTCGATCGTCGTGAAACAGCTGTTGCATGGAATGCTGTTATGCAGAGTGTTCAACCTATAAATTTGAGTAACGAACAGTGGATTGCTGTTTTTTTGCCGGTAAAAGTTTCACCTTTAATATTTTTCAGAAAGCGTTTATTTATTTATTCTTCTGCTCATTTCATTTAGCCCAACCCTGAGATGACAGCTACGCGGAACCAACTGAGGCAGAAGCTGGCAAAATGTGGTGCCAGAGAATTTGCTACTCTTATCGTTGATATCTTGAAAGAAGCGAGACGAAGGTGGGTTTTTTTGCAAAATTAATTTGACTGATATGTGCATGTCTCTTCATAGATTTATAACTTTATTTGGATCTTTCTTATATTACGTTGGTGGTATTTGAAATTTGCGATTTTTGAATAACTTAGTTTTTTTCTAAGTTATTGTGGTTTACAAAGGGTCTTTAAACTTTCCTCAAAGCTATCACATTCCAGGCACTTGGGGTCACCAAATGAGCCGGAACCAGTTCCTTCTGAAGACCGGTCAGCTAAGCATCTTTTCACGAAGAGCATGAACGATGGCCTTTCGTCAGTTTTTCCAGACCTTAACCGTCATATAGCATTTTCCTCTTATGAGGTTTAAAGTCGAATTGTGAGTTTATTTAGAGACGGACTTGGCAGAGATTATGACGATGTGGCTGAAAGCAATGCCAGTACCTCAAGGACGTCGGGAAGTTTCAGTTTAAGGTCTAGTATTTGTAACTTTATATTTATTTATTTTTCATTTTCCTGCGCGGGGTTTTGCTATTAGTGGACGTTATACTTTCCTTTTCCGTAGGAACTTCAAAAGTTTGTTTTATGTTTATTATTTACATCAGTTTTTTTTATTAAGATAATGACTTTTTAGCCACAAAAGCGAAGGTCAGACTGAACCAGCCCCAGTTGGCGGATCTGTTTCGCTAGATGACTTCCTAGAACTAAAGGAGAAAGTTCTTGAGACTGAGGAAAAGCTGAGCGTTGCCCAGCAGACCAACGAAACTTTGACAAAGTAGGGGTTGACGGTGAATGCTTTACAACCATAGATTTGTCAAGGGGAGAACGGATGAAGAGTTACCAGAAAATTTTGGCTGTACCAAATTCCTAAGTTGCTTGTTTTGATTAATTTAAAATTTCGTCATGATTTCAATGGTTTCTGGAGTTGCAGGGTGTTGAATCGTTTGCAAACCGATTTTGAGCGTCTCTCTGCTGATAATGTGGAAGTAAGGAACGTGCTAACAAGATTGCGTGATGCTTATGGTTATGGCGAGGTAGTAAGCTCAAAATGACATATTATTTCTTAATATCTTTCAGAGGAACAAGCATTATTTTGGATTTTAAATGTTTTAGCTGTTTACAAAACGGAAATCAACATCTAATGTAGCTTTATCTTCCACTTTGCCAGGCACAGTTCAACTCATGACAAGGCATGCATCTGTTGGTAGTCCTTCTACCATGACCAAACGTAATCTTTAGTTTAAATTAGTCATTTCTTTTCTTACACAGTGTGTCTAGAGTAAGCTTACTTTGCGTTATTACTTGAAATGAATTCTGTTAAGTATTAGTTTCCTCTTTCAAAGAGCGCTGAAATATTTTTTTGCCTGGCCTTTTTCTCGGTCAGCACTGGTTTTAGAGGGATTAAGGTACCGATTCGAGAGCGACCCCGCAGTGGATACTGCTGGATATGATGATAGGTACAGTAAGAGGAAGAATGTATCAGAATTCGGCGTTAATTACCAAGGTATGAGTAGTCCTTTTTATCTGGATAACATGACAAGTACCAGTCGTCGAATATCATTTCAAAGGCTTTTTGACGCGTCAGGTATTCTGGTATTTAATTTTCTTCCTGTTATGCTTCTATTGCAGTGTTTATAAAAAGTTGGAAATAATGGGACAGCAAGTTAGCGGTGTCTAGTATCTCACTTATTTTGTGCAATCTTTGTTTATTTGTTTCATATTGCTCTCCTTGCTCTTTTTGATTTTTATTGAGTGTAAATCGTAATTCCAGTGTTCCCCGACAATCTGATTGTTGAAACTGAGCGTTTAACTAGAGCAATTAAGCTTTTGTTGTCGGATGCACAGTTCAATCGTTTGGCACTTCGAGCGCCTGATCATGCTTATGCGGTAATATAATGTAAAATTGTGACTGTTGCTTCCGTTCCGTTTAGATTTAGTTTGGTGAGTTCTAATTTTTAAAATACATGGTTTTCTTAGGTTGCGGTCCAGGTAGACCGAATTATGGCGGCCGTGCCCAAAGCGAAATGCACTACTGAGGTCACTTTCTGTTTAAAGACAATTACAGATGCTACAGTTAAGCTTTCTGCAAAGTGTAATATTCCATCAGTGGACGTAGACGAGACCTGTAATGCTGCATATGACGTTGCGAAGGCTGCAAAGAACTTGTTAGTTGCAGTGCATGAACGTTAGCATCGCTTAGCTTATTCAACTTGTAACGCAAACTTTGCTTGATTTGTTTCTATATTTTTGTTTGATGTGAATATATATACACCGACTTTGAAGCGGGAGTTTTTTCGGAGTTGAAGTCTCAAGGATGTTTAAAATCGGCATTTTATAACTTTGTTTTTTGTAATTATTCTCTTTTCTTGAAAGTTTTTTTGGATTCGATTCTGTTCAAAGTGTTGGAACATCTCTGACACTAACATATACGGTTAAAAATCACTAAATTTTCTTGACTGTCTTCATTGATTCTGTTGATTTGGTTACAACATTTGTTGATCTCTCATATGTCATTCATCGTGTAAACGAAGGCGGGAACATTTTGTAGTGCCTTAGCTTCTCCATGGAATGTTCTTGAATTAGTGCCATTTGAAAAAAAGGTGCGGAGGAGTATATGAATAAAAAAACACTGTGATATGTGGATATTGTGTTCTTTGGTAGTTTAAATTGCGTATGATCTAATTAACCAGTTAATTTGAGCGCTTTATTTTCTGTTCATCTTTTATCATTTATTGTGCAAGTTTTGCGCTTTTAGGCGGAATTTTGAGGCTTAAACTTCCGGCGACCAGGAAGTCTTTTCAGTGAGTCTAATTTTGCAGGAATATTTTTTCAGATTACTTTGTAGGGGAAATCATTGCTTTTTGGCTGGTGGTTTGGGCTTTTTTTTTTGGTTACAGTTATTGGTAACCGTTTTTTCTTTCGCTGCCACTTGAAGACGAAAAACCGGGGGATTTTGTGCGTTTATTGCATGCAGAAAAACATTTAAAGACATTGCAGAGGTTTCTAGTGTTGAAATTCTTAAGGACTGTTACGAAGTTTCAAGCTAGATGATGTGGTTTAATAGAGATTTCTTGTTTGTTTTTTGTAAAGTTTGGATTGGTTCAGTGGTTTTTCTGGTCATTGGGTTGGAAAAATTTGATTTGCAGTTCACTGTCTTTGGTTTCTGGTGTGTTTGTTAGGCAGTTGTATATGACTCGTGAGTAACCCTTTAAGGGGGATTAACGAGACAAATCTGAAGTGTCATTGTTTCCTGTCTAGTTACAAATGTGAGTCGGTGGATGTATTTTTTTTCTTATCTAGTTGCCGGAGGCCAAGGCCATGATATATGCTGTGAAAAGGGTGCTTACTGAGTTGGGCCGCTGTGCCTAAAGCAGAGTCCACGCTTGTTTGAGCCGATTTAGGTTGTTACAAGTTCTGATTTGAAAGTGGGAATTTGGAAATTCACGTGTAGGGCAGATAATTACAACTTTAATCATGTTGTTGGTTTCAAAGAGGGTGGTTTGCGCGATGCGTTAGATTTTAATTGACAAAATGCACTAGTTTACGTAGAAATTTGTATTTTGGAAGAGGGTTCACCTGGCCATTTCTTTCGCAACTTCTGTATGCGCTCTGAAATTCCTCAATTGTCGGTAACAATGTGTGGTATTTGTTTAGGAAGCTGTTTAGAAGAATCTTGAAATGGCAAAATGCAGTTGATAAAAGTAAGAGTTGCGCAGAGTGTCGCTGGAAAATGTTCATTGTCAATAAGTATTACACTAATCGTTTATTCTGTTGGTTTTTCTGGAAGTTTTAGTGATTGAAAATTCATTTTGAGTTGTTGACATTTCTTTGAAGTTTTGGAAAATATAGTTATTTACCATCAAAAAAGTTGTTCAGGTGAAAGGTAAGTAATTAGTTATATGATTAACTTTAGAAAAGAACTAACTTATGAGGCGTCAAAGGTGGGAAATGATTTTGCAGTGGATAGATGCTGAAACGGTAGCATCTTAATTGCAAAAAAATAAATTT